TACATATGTATGTACATACAAACGAGCACCAATTAATTTTATTTAAAGAAATGGCGTGTCGTCTATTTCCGCTGTAGCAAACGTAGTACATAGGGCGACATCTAGATGTCATCTACCTCGCCCTATTCACTACAGCTTTTCAAAGCTTTGCTTTGGTGTCGGACACACATCATTGAAAGATTCTGGATCCACAACATTGAAAGTTTCTGGACGCACAACATTGCAAGTTGATAAAAGCGTTGTAATAGGAGAAGCTCGGGTAAACTATTAACAAAAATGTGGGTGTCAAAAATTGGTCTTTATTAAAAAGCAGTTCCAAACTTAAAATATTTGGAATTCTTTGGTTTTTAGTTTCACATCAATATTCTCCTACGTAATACATATTTTTCAACTATTTTTAGTAGTAGTAGTACTACTATAAGCTTAATAGTTCAATTGTCACATTCGATACGTTGGTACTAGATAAGCGTAAAAATATAATAACAACAACAATAACTGCCGCTAGAACAACAAAAACGATACGAAGCACAGTGTTTCGACTTCAGGGAGGTATGTTGGTGGAAGCAATAGTAAACGCGAACCGATTTCGCTGGAACTTGACATATGCTCTAATTTTTCTTAGGAATTGCGAGTTATGAAATATGGTAGAAGTCAGATCATTGCCCCGCCCTCCACCCTTGTGGGCGAAAATGTGAAATTTCATCCGATTTCGATGAAATTTAGTTTGTACTATATTACTTTACTAAAACCCCTATACCCTTATACATTCGGAAACTATAAGAAATTCACTAAAACATGCAAAAACCCAACCGACTTCAATGCGCATATAAGAATTTAAGAGTACCCTTAATTTGTTTAAGATGAAATTTTAGGATTTAAAGGTACCACCTTTCCGATAAAAAAGAACATACACAAAAAATATCTACATATGTATATTCCGACGAATTATTCACAGCCAAACGCAACGTAAGTTGAGAGAGGGGTAATGAAATTATGTGAAATTTTGTTTTTACATATGACTTTAATGTTTCCCTCGCTAATCTAATCAGATTTTTTCTATCAACTATCACCATGACTTATTTCCACCTGCCTCCATATAGTCGAAACACGGTGCGACAGCACCTATCTATTGGACGTGCATAAAATTACAATATAGGCCTCCAAGTTCAACGAATATTGAAATTCAAAAGTACAATACAGAGAAGCACTAAAGTACTCATGTATGTATGTACATATGTACGTTAGGGTGGTCCACAAATGCATGTGAAAAAGTAAAGTCGGAATTTTAAAAATTTTTCTATTTGAAATTGAAAAATATTTAGAGATCGCTCAAAGCACTCAAAGTTCTATGCAGGAAAAAAACAACTTTTCGTAGAAATGGTATTAAATTCCTGAAAATCAATATTTTTCAATCGGAAAACTCTGTTTGTCTTCAATAATAATACCCAATAGTTATATAACCATTTTTTAAACTAACTATATTTTATAGTTGTGCCGAAAACCTCTGAAAATGCCGTGGACCCATAAAAAATCGTTAGTATTAAAAAATGCTCAAATAAACATTATTGAAAGTCTCCTGAAGAAAACCTGAGTTTTCCTTTCGAAAAATAATGATTTTTAAAATTTCTATATCATTTCTACGAAAAGTTGTTTTTCCCCCAATATAAAATATGTACCTACATGGAAAACTTTGAGCAACCTCTAAATATTTTTGATTTCAAACAATAAAATAAGGGTATATTTTTTCGGTGTAGAACAATCCTAGGGGGTGAGAGCATTAAAATTCCGACTTTACTTTTTTTTGACCATCCTAATGTACATACTATATATAGGTACAAATAGCTTTAACAGTAGGGCGAAGTGTCGCAAAAATGGTTGTCCGCGTAGTGGACTTCGTCTATCACTTTACTACATACATACATGGTCCTACAAACATAGTACATACATATGTTTGGATTTAATACAAGCCAAATGTATAGAAGGAAAATTAATTCATTAATTTTAATACATATTTATACGAGTACTGCAAGTGCCTAATCAGTTGTGAGCGATAGCTGGATTTTGCTTGGTGAATAGAAATGGCTTGCATTAGGTGCATACATATGTATATGTGTATTCTATTAGGATGGTGCACAAACTAATTTCGTATAAATTTCGGAATATTTTTTGGACAAAAGTCGACGACAGGCATAGTCTGGTGTAAGTACCTGATGATGACCTTAGATTGGATGGAAAAATATTAGTGGTTTGATGAACTGTTGACAACAGTCGTTGCTTGAGCTCATCTACTCTTTTGCCAGACTGCCAGGCCACTTGCTCACTTTGGTGAATACCACTATTGCTTTATGCTCAATGCATTAAAGAAATGTACAGCATGTAGCACTAGTTCGGACATGGATCATTGAAAACTAGGTAGGGGAAAAGTGATTCAGCTGAAAACGAAAAAGGAATGCTCACATGGTTGTTATGGGCCCTGGGGAAGTGGTGGTTACTTTCCACCTTTCTACGGAACCTATAGAATGATCTACAGTTGCTGTGTCGGAAAATGGGTTTAATGCTAAAGGTAGGAGTTCGACAGCACCTTGTGCGATAAATATACTTCTAAAAGGTCTGAACCTAAGATGGAGCTGAACATCCATCAACGAAAACGCCAATACTTCATTTCCAAAGGAGAAGAGTTCTTCCGGGCACGGGAAACACAACTTTAATAAGAATAGTAGTGAGTGTTACCAGAGAAGTGGAGTATCTAGGACTGATCCTGTATACGAAACTTCTATGGCATAAGTACGTTGGCGCAACCATATCTATAGCTAGCAAAGCAGTAATGGTGTGCAAACGTCTAGCGGTTAAATTCTCGTGATGCAGCCCAAGAAAAAGGCTGGTATATCGTGTCCGTAAGATTTGTAAATCATAGACTTAATAAATGAAATGAAATATATGTGATGCTAGCTTGAATCTCGAGAGCTACCCTAACCACTGTGAAAGAGGCAATCACAAAGCTTCAAAGTCTGGGGAACTGGAGCTACATAATTACTACAACAACAGAGAAGTGTTGTGAAGAGAAGAAGGCACAATAAACCCTTAGGTCATAGTGGTACCTACTTATCTATCCATTAGCCCTTCTTGCCCGGTTATATGTAATAAGAATTTTAAAGTAAATTAAAGTTCCAACAATTTTAATTAATTCGAAAAACTATGTTTTTTCTATTTAGTACAGCTGCTTAAAAAGTATTTTTAAAAAGATATAATTTTTTGTGATAGCCTTTACTTACACACATATGCATTTCAAAAAGTTTATATTAAAACTAATGACGGAAATTTAATTAACCAGCCAACAGAATAAAAACAACTCAGTATCTTGTAAATTCATTATTTGACTTCTACTAAAAGTACAATATAGACAGTTTTCTTTTCACTCAAGCAAAAATTATGTAATTATTTGAAAAGTGTTTGCAAATTTCTCAAATAAAAATTCAATGTCAAGTGCATCTACGAGAAGTGCTTTAAGTCAACAAAAAAATGCAGTTACTTGCACAAATATTAGCACAACAAAAATGTTTACGTAAATGCGCTGACAACGCAAAATTTGCAACAACTGAAAGATAGATGCATTTTGCGCAAACGCAAAACCCCCACACACCAGCAGAGAGTGCAATGCAATTAATAAATGAAAAAAAAATGAGAAGAAATCAAACAAATGCATTACTAGCTGAGATATTTAAATATTTACTCGTAAACACTACTTCTATGATGCATTAAAGATCACTGAAGCCAAAAGTCATTAGTCGCACTTTTTTGGAGTAGCCGCAAACAAATGTGTAGTCTCTTTATTATTGCATCTACTTATACAAAAAGCTTACTTAAGTACTTTTTGTAATTCGTTTATCTTTTTGCAAGCGTTTAATAGCATTGCCATTTTTGTCTTTATTTTCTTTAGCTCGCAAAGAGGGGATTTAACTTGGTGCTAATCAGTCGCTCGCTAACCAAATTGGAAGATGTAGCCAAGAAAATCGGTAAGAAATACGAATTTTAATAAAAAACAATATTTACATTAATTACAAGTATCTATAAAACAAAAAGGGAGCAAAATATACGAAACAGAAATAAAATATTTATGGAAAATAGGAAAAAATAAAACCAAATAAAATACAATAAAACAAATTAATATTAAACTAAATTAAATCAAATTTAATTTAATTTAATCAAAATAAAACAAATGAAACGAACTGAAATAAAATAAAAAATTTACATAAAATTAAATAAAATAAAATAAGTTGGAATAAAAAAATATATATAAATATATTTTTTATATACATTATATTATTTATATCAAGAAAACAATTTAACAAATAAAAAACAAACAAAAATATTTTATTCCAGAAAAAAAAACAAAATCAAAACTATTAATATCAAATAAAATCAACTAAAATTAGAAAAAGAAATAATGAAATTTATATAAAATAAAATTAATATACGTAAAATAAATTTTATATAAAATAAATTAGGATATGAAATAAAAATGAAATGAAATAAAAAATTTGCTCAAATAAAATAAACTTAAATTAAAACCAAATCAAATATGTAACATGAAATAAAATATTATAATTTATATAAAATAAATTAACATAAAATTTAAATAATATAAAATAAAATTTGTATAAAATCAAAGCAAAAAAATAAACCACAATATAAGTTAAATTAAATTAATATAAAATACTCTGAAATAAAATAGTAAACTAATAAAAATATGGTCAAATAAAATAAACTAAAATTAAAATACATAAAAAAATTTAAAATAAAATTTATTAATATAAAACAAAAGTTTTTTAAATAAATTAAAATAAAACAAAATCAAACAAAAAAATTCAAATGCAATGCTAAAACTTAAACTAAAATGAATATAAAACTCAAATTTATACAAAATTAAATAGTTAAAAAATAACATCAATGCTAGCTAAAATTAAATTAAATTAAGTTAAACAAATAAAATTTAATTAATTCAAACAAAAAAGTAAACAAATGTATATAAGAAATGATACTAATCAAATAAAATACAGCAATAAACAAAAATAAAACAAAACAGACTAAAACTAAAACTAAATTAAAACGTCCTATCTCAGCTGAAAATATGTACATTGAAAATGTGCTGAGATGGGGCGTTTTTGAATCGGCAGCTGAAATGGGGCGTTCATCAACCAAATTCTGAAGTAGGGCGTTCTTGAAAAGTTTTCTGAGTCAGCGCGTTTTCGAACTGACTGCCGAAATAGGTCGATCTTCCACTCAGATATCGATATAGTCGTATTAAAATTTTATATCAATTTTCATTTAATTACAGGCGAGGACCACAAAGTCGATATTAAAATCGTCGATGTCGATTTCACGGGTGGCGTGGAGATTTACGACAAGATCAAGGCACGCATAGAGGGCCTTGACATTGGTGTACTCGTCAACAATGTCGGCGTTTCATATCCTTACCCAGAATACTTCCTAGAATGCTATCAGCAAGATCCTAAATTCTTACAAAACATTATTTCGGTAAACATACACTCCGTGACACACATGTGCGCCTTAGTTTTGCCTGTCATGGTGAATAGAAAGAAAGGTGTAATCATCAATGTCTCGTCAACTGCCGCGGTTATACCAAATCCACTGCTTAGCGTTTACAGCGGCTCCAAGGTACATACATACATGCCTAAAGTATTTGTTGACTTAATCTTATCGGCTAAATACACGGTGCGTCTGACTCGCGAGTCAGTTTGGATGACTCGTATGACTTTGAATGGCTCAACTGGGTGTAGTCGAAAGGCGAGTCAACACGCACACAGATGACTCGCGAGTCAGACACGCACCGTCTATTGGAATCGCATTTTTTTTTTTAGTTTTTTATTTTTATGAATTTTCAATTTTTCCAGGCTTTCGTTGACAAATTCAGTGTCGATTTACAAACGGAATACCGTAGTAAAGGTATCACAGTGCAATGCGTTCAGCCGGGCTTTGTTGCCACCAATATGAGCAAGATAAAAAGAACGGATCTAATGACGCCATCACCCGACACATATGTCGCTGCAGCTCTCAACTTTTTGGGATATACCACGAAAACTGCTGCCTATTTGCCACACATTTTTTTGCAGTTGACTTTGAATCTCATGAATGATGTCATCTGTGAACCCTTCACTACGAACTTCGTCTTCAATCAATTGTTGACTATGCGCAAACGCGCCTTGCGTAAACAGCAGAAGCAATAGAGGGTTTGAACAATTAAGTTCTATGTAGCTTTACCTGTACATAAATGTCAGTTCAATGACCAAACCAAAAATAGATTTAATTTTTTATGAATATTTCGCATCCAAGAAATAAATTTCAGAGTGTAGCTGGTCAATATAACATAATTAAAGCGTCTTATTAATATCTAAGTACTAATTATTATAAACAAAAAAGTGTACGTATGTACGAGTAAGATTTTTACCCTGGAGCCTGCCGAGGTAGTAGCAGCACCTGTCGGCTCCTAGGTAGACAAAAAGCCCTTCATTACCTAAAAGTTATAACTGCTAACAGTGACGCGTGTCTCAATGTGCAGAGTCTATTTGTAGATTGGCAACTCGCATTGCGCTTTTCCACGTCGGTTTAAAGAAGTCGTTTGGTTTCCAACGGCGGATAAAGGCCCTCCAAATTTTAGTGCATATAATGTACACAGAGACCAAACTTGGGTAATCAGAAGGCTGCACAAACAGCCTGAAAAGAATCCCATCTTACTGTCACAGTCAGAAATGGATGACCGTGGTGAAGGCGAAAGTCTCCAAAGCCATTGGCTTGGCGGAATAAGCATGCTGATTTAGAAAAACTCGGATTTCGCGGGAGTAGAATATCTCAGGATGATCCCAAATTTGTCGATGACCACTCTTGACTTGTGGAAGTCCGGGAGAGTGGTTCCATTGCTTAAGCCGCAATATACCCCAGTATAAGTACCATCACTACAGCACTGAACACCATAAACACCTTCGACATCGTTTTCACTCCACGCTGCTAGAAAACATTGATTTTAGAACCCGAAAAATAATAAACAGGGGTCCCACAGGGTTGTTATTGTGGCTTAGTGGCACTACTCAACTAACGGTAGGCCCAGTAAACGAACTTTTTCGACGTGGTCGGACCAAAGAGCGAGGTGTGTTAGCTGGGTGGGATTGAGCTGGCATGTGAAGTGGTAGTTAGTGTCGTGTCCTCTGCCTATTTTGTTTAATTTCTGTATTTCGAAGTTCGTATGCATACGACGGCTCGATATTGAGGTCCATCGAAGCCTACCATTAGTTGAGCTTGACGACGATAAGCTGATTTGTGCAGAGCTGAGTAGCCGCAAAACTAACAACAATAACAACACATAGGTTAAGTCCGGTTATGCTGGCTGACCATAGCTCTGACATAAATGACGTCAACGTCCATAGTGTTGCGAGATACTCTTACGGCCCAAGGATCAATGCATTCACGTAATGTTATAGAACACTGCCGTTCCTTTAGCGAACTTTGGTAGACATTTTGGTCCTTTGTCGGCAGCTGTACCTTACCGGGTAGCGCGAGCCTCAGAAAACATGGAATGAGCATCTCAAAACCTGCAATCGCTCAAGCGGAGACAGGAAACTGTGGTCCATAGTCAAGTCTCTGTCTTCAATCTGACGATGCGTAAGGACAATGCCGCCCTTCTTTCAGCACCACCACAATGTCGGATCCACAGTCGTGTGGGCGCTTTTTCAGCCGGCAATTTATTGCACACACAGAGAGAGGCACACAAAATTAGCCACAGTGATACACCAACGTGCTTTACCTTTGAAGATACGCAGGCAGCTGTCAACAACGCCAAAGCATCCAAGGCGTTAGGCTCAGATGGAATATCCATGCTGGGATCTACGGGAGTCGAGTACATGACCGCCGCTTTCAACTTGTCACTGTCCACCCTCATCATCCCCGAGATGTGGAAAATGGGTAGGATCCAGCCAGGGAATAAGGCGGACGAAGGAGTCTCGTACAGACCCATCTTCCTCCTATCCCCAGAGGCAAAAACCATGGAAGCACTACTCCTCCCCAGCCCAACGAAGCACTTGAAGCTAGCCGAACACCAGCACGGATTCCGGAAAATGCCCAGCACGACCCCAGCATTGAACGCCATCACCACACAGTTTACACACGACAATGTAAACCACGTGACCCTCTGCCAATACATCCTGGACTCGTCGGTGCTAGCTCGGACGAAACGGTGGATAACCAGCTATATGTGTGGCCGTCAATCATCTGTCGAATTTCGAAACGCAAAGTCCAAGCCGCGTAGAATTAAACAGGGCGTCCTTCAAGCCAGAGTACTCTCCCCGACACTGATTTATCTCTACATTGCAAAGCTCTCTCCGCCACCAGCAGGAGTGAACTTGTTAAGCTACACTAATGATTGGACAATAATGGGCGACGGTCCCAAACATCGACAGCTTTTGCAATAAAATAACCGTCCATCTCACCGATCTTTCCAATTTCTTCACTGCAAGGAGCCTCAAAATCTCCACCACTAAATCCAGCGCCACACTCGTCACAACTTGGACCGAAGAGATCAGGATAGAACTGGACGTCTTCGTGGATGCGCCAAAATACTGGCGACCAATCATCCCAAAATCCTGGGAGTGACGTCCGATAGCCTCTTCTCCTTCACCGCGCACACCGCAGCCACATGCAACAAACTTCGATAAATAAACCCTACTCGAAACCTACAAGGCAATTGGCCCGTCAATGACAGCACCAGTGTCGACGGCAGGGACGAGCGACATGGATAAATCTGCGAACATGTCAGAACGTAGCTCTACGTATCTCATGTTGTCCAAACATCATTTCCACGAAGAAAGCCAGATGCTGGGCGATGAAAGAGCAATACCTCATAGGATGCCACCGAGGGAACCACCCCAACAACGCCCTGCTTCGAAACGAACCGCGCCCACGACACCGACATCGAGCCGTGCGTTGACCATCCGTTCGACACAGCGAGATACAGAACGGCGCTCAACAGAACGAGACTCAGTACACGCAATGACAGCATCGTCCTATGCGGTATACAGCTGCCCATAAACTTAGAAGAAACGGAACTGCCGAGAGAGACCAGATGCACCCTAGCACAACTCCGTTCTGGGCTGGGCCACTTTCTCAGCAGCTACCTCTCTCGGCTGCACACAGAAGTGGCAAACACCGAGCGCCTCATCACATGCCCCTACGACCCTGATACCAAAAGCGGCCTCAGACTTACTGAGTCGGAGGATGAAGACGATGATTCATGACAGGACCTGGGCGGTTGAGCGCTGCTGCTACAATAACAATAATTGCTGTCAATTGATTGAAAGTCTACAAGCTTGACTTCTTTTCCAGAGCCTACCTGTCTGGCGGTATAAGAGAATTTAAGAACTTTTGATTTCCTGGAAAGAAATTGGCATATCCGTCACTAGTGAAGCGTCTAAATAAACGCCCTTCTTGGATAGCTCGTCAGCTTTCTATTACCTTTCATACCCTCGTATCCTGGGACNGAAACGAACCGCGCCCACGACACCGACATCGAGCCGTGCGTTGACCATCCATTCGACACAGCGAGATACAAAACGGCGCTCAACAGAACGAGCCTCAGTACAGGCAATGACAGCATCGTCCTATGCGGTATACAGCTGCCCATAAACTTAAAAGAAACGGAGCTGCCGAGAGTGGCCAGATGCATCCTAGCACAACTCCGTTCTGGGTTGGGCCACTTTCTCAACAGCTACCTCTCTCGGCTGAACACAGAAGTGGCAAACACCGAACGCCTCATCACATGCCCCTACGACCCTGATACCAAAAGCGGCCTCAGGCTTACAGAGTCTTCGATGATTCATGGCAGAACCTGGGCGGTTGAGCACTGCTGCTGCATCAACAATTGTTGTCAATTCATTGAAAGTCTACAAGCTTGACTTCTTTTCCAGAGCCTACCTGTCTGGCGGTATAAGAGAAGATTTTAAGAACTTTTGATTTCCTGGAAAGAAATGGGTATATCCGTCACTAGTGAAGCGTCTAAATAAACGCCCTTCTTGGATAGCTCGTCAGCTTTCTATTACCTTTCATACCCTCGTATCCTGGGATCCAATATATGAACTTAGGTGAACGGTTTTAGCCGCCGCTAAAAACACATTAGAAATGAAAAATGCTAACTAAATTATAAAAATTATTTTATTTTATTGCACCTGTCAGTCTCTCTTACTCTGATGTATATATTTTTGATGCGCTATAGAGAAATAAGGATGCAAGCGAAACGCTCAACGCACTATTTTGTTTATGACTGGCAGTGAAAAAACTACGTAAAGGAAGCATTTTTGTATAAAAAGAAATAGCTTTTGTTCCAATTTTTATGGAATTTTCCGATACTAGTACAGCCCAAGGCACNCAGAAACCAGCAGCTTCCCCTCAAAATGAAATGTCACTTTGCTCTCTCAATTTCCCCTACTTTGCAAGTTTTTTGCGTACGCGAACGCAAAAACTTGTAAGTTTTGGTTAAACATGAACAATTAACAGCTACGCGAACGAACCTATAGAGAAATAAGCATGCAAGCGAAACGCTCAACGCACTATTTTGTTTATGACTGGCAGTGAAAAAACTACGTAAAGGAAGCATTTTTGTATAAAAACAAATAGCTTTTGTTCCAATTTTTATGGAAATTTCCGATGCTAGTACAGCCGAATTGTCAAAGGGGGGCAAAAAAAAACAGTTTAAAAAAATCCCGTTTTCATTTAATGAAATTTCCCTTTTGTACTAATAACGTGTACGAAAGCAAGTCGCAACTACTGTACACGCAGCTGTTTACTTTGACAGTAGACCACCAACTGACATTTCGTATTTCTGTTTTTTGTACGTGTTTAGCGCAAGGCAGCGAATAAAGTGTAAGCAATTGTATGAATATTCGTGGAAATATATTAAATTTTAGTTGAAATATTAATGTATTATTGCTAGCGGACATTGCTATCATCTAAATTACATAGGAAACCGCTTTGTACATCAACGGCCAAGCGCTGTGAAGCCTTGGTAGCTCGCTTACGTAATGGTGTTTTAATTAGTTTCATTCTTTCCAGGTGTTATGACTGTTGCCCGATTTGCCAGGAAGTACGGAGCAGTGATATTCTTCCCCACATTTACTGTGACATCAATTTTAGCCGACTGGACACATACACAGGCGTGGAAAAAACAGCAACGTAAACTTGCCAAGAAAAGCGAATTTGCGACAGAGTAAAAAAAAAAAATTAAAGCAAAAAAGTTCAACATGATTGGCTTGGATAAACGCTACGCTTGGGGTGTGCTTCCATTGATTGGTTTTGCTATTGGCCATTTCTTAGATAAAAAGGAAACCGAACGAATGACATTGTTCCGTGACAAGAGTGCGCTCTACGGACGACCGGAAGGCGCTGAGCGCAAACCTCCATCTTGGTAATAAATAGCTTGGGTGGTGTTTCTTAGGAAAAATGTAAAATTTAGGTAGCATTTGGATGAACACGAAGCGAACGAACTTTTGTTTTAAATAAATGCAAATGATATAAGCGAAACAAAGTTATATTTTCTAATTGAACTCGCGATGGTCTTCGGCACTATTATATCTGGCCAAGGACAGTCACTCCCCAGAAACTGCGGAATCTCTATGCTGTTACAACAACAGCAAACTGGCTTAGAAATTTTATATTTTTACAAGATTTACACTAGCATAATTCGGATACCTATGGTAGCGCAATATAAACGCTTTAGAGTTAACAGGACTACAAGCTTTCCGGTCTTAGATCGGTGAGGTCGAGAGAGTGAAGTTCAATACATGGTAAATTTTAAAGCATTAGGTGACTTTTTCGTCTCCACATTATTGTTATTGTTTATTTATGTTTATTTAATCTACGAATGTCCTTTTAAACAGGAACATCTATTTAATGTGTTATGTATTCATCAAGAACTCGAGCACCCACCCAAAATCACACAATGCTTTGCAGTATGAATTTAACCGAAGGTGTAATCATTCTATTCGAAAAACGAATATGCGATTCCTGTACATACATACATATGTATATATCTCGTTGACCTAAGCCGCTTGCTTAATTTTTTCTACTTAAACAATAACCATTCTAACTCAATTATTAAACGCCTACGTATGTATCGTAAAAATCTACGAGTATTTCTACAGAGAACCATGATCATTGAGTATTTGGTTTCTACCTCACTTGAACTTTCCATTAAATTTAAAGGGATTATACCTATGCATATCATCAAAATTATAAAAGTAACTAGTCACGACAAAAATAGTTAAGTAAACAAGTATTCACTATCTGCAGTGAAGTAAATATAGCCATATCTATTTATTTGTTCATCTGCAGAGCGGACATTCCTCATTCCTTTTGGTCAAAGTCAAAATAAATAAACGCACAAGAAAAAACAATAAACGTTTTTCCGAGTTTCTTGGATGCATGTATACATGTGTGTATGACGCACGTATGTATGTATGTATATAATAAAAACTCCAAATACCAGCTCGATATTTGGCACCCAGTTGCCTCGTATCTTAAAAAAAACAATAGTGTAACCATAGCCACAACCAAAATGCAATTCTAAATACAAGTATCGAAATTTTTTCTTGCATCTGTAATGAAGATGCATGCTAAATACTCACCCTCATTGCGTAAGTCGTAAATTAGGCTAAATTGTACGACTCGACAACAGTAGCATTGTCTATTGTCGTACTGAAATAAGTAAACGACCAAAATTGTCGAAAACTATACAGTGCTGCCAAGTTTTTCCGTTTTAATACACTAGTCGAGTGGAAATTTTAGGCAATGACGTGAAATTTTCGATACGATTCGACTCTCGAAAAACGTCTTGCATTTGATACGACTCTCGCAATGAGGGTGAATGTCTTAACTGTTTCTCCTCATACATCTCGAGCCTCTACAAGTGTCCTCTGATTTATGACCTACAACCAGCAAACCAANATGTATACCAATTTATGTGGAATTATTCAATAAATTTCGTTTTACACTCTACTTTGGAGTTAATTATTTTTGTTTCTTAAAAGCAACCCTGCGTGCTTGGAAGGCGTGTGTACTAATAATATCATCCCTAGCATATTCATCCCCGAGGAAGGCAGTCGCCAAATTCACCGAAGGTTGTTTACTGGTTATATTGTGATATGTACACATATTCAATTGTGTAGTCGAAATCTTTGCAAACCTCGCCCTCTTCGCTAAATAACGTCTGCTTCCCTTGTGCTAGGACTTATACAGGTATGGGCAAAAATTGCTCTCGAAGAGTTTGTATAGAAGTCATGACAGTAGGAAGAATAAGAAAAACCATTAAAGAGCACATAGATGTATGCCATGATACAAATAATTTTTGTATCATGGGTGTATGCATATGTATGTTTATATATGTAAAAGAATGTGCACGATTGGGTGCCGCTCAATTTTTTTCTAAAAGTTGGTATATAGGCGCAGATTTCAGCTTATTTCTTATTTTCTACATTTTTGCACAGTATACTATTTTGGAAACTTCTATTGTAAAATTAATTTGTCATAAAACGATTATCTAGCTGTAAAATAAATCTGTAAAGCGAATAGCCTCTCCGTTCGGAGTCAAGTCATATGAAATAGATCAGATTTGCACATCCATATGTACATACAAACATACCTGCATATACACATGTTAGCATATAATACAAATTTTTGCTATCTAAAAGGCATTTAATTACGTCTTTTATATATGTATGTGTGTGTGTGTGTAAATAAATAATGCATTCTCGAACGTACATAAGTATTTATTAACCGTTAAATACAAAAATAAAATTTAAAATATAAGAGTTAATTTTACTCATCTTAAAGACAGAGGGAACTTATTTCGCATCACAACTATTAATTACTTACATATACTTATACTATAAAAAAATGGCACACACAACCTTGATATCAAATCAAGCTTGTTGTCTAAGTTTTGCATTTTTTCTTATAAAGCAGAAAGCACTTAAGATTCATGCGCCCATGGCACAACAGGAAAGACAGCCTTTTCATGGTAAATACATTGCAGTAGACCATACCCGATCAGTTATTAATATTGCTTACATACTAATAAAATATTTATGTTCTCGCCTTATCCGTAAATGTTTTCAAAATTTCTCATTCCCATTCAAACCAGCATTTTCTCACGACTGCCACTGCTACGCATACTAGACACCACACCAGCGCTGGCTGCGGCCACATGCGTGATCGAATGTGGCGGCAGCATTAATGAACGCCGCATGTGGTGATGGCGCCGCAAAGTGGCGCTATGACGTTCACGTGTCGATTGTCTGAATTTTTGACGCCCAATTACCGTGTTTGTCGCAGCAGTATTTGAAATAGCGGCAGTGCATTGAGCTGTTTCTGCACCACTTTGATCCGCATTCATGGCGGCCAACAAGTCGAATGCCGCGCGTTTATGTTCCTTGGTCCAAATATTGCCAAGCTCTGATGTCTCGCACTTAGCGAGTACTTGGTCGGAGCGTGGTGCGAATGGCATGCGCGTTTTTGTAGTAAGTGAACTAGGTGGCGGTTGTTGATTATTTTTTTTATTGTTCAATACCGATTCAGGAAAACCTTTGGAGCGGTTGCTATTATCTGGCTTCGAAGTGGACTTGCTGCTGCGATGTAGACCAAACAAGGTGGATAATATTGAACGCCGCCGCGTATGTGTGCTTGTTGTTGTAGAGTTGGCGGCGATGCCACTGTCCGCTGAATCTCTGCTATCTTTGCTTGAAACGCTGCCTTGAAGTTGGGAAGGCTGCCGCTTTGTGCTTTGCGCTTTAGTGGAAATCGGTTTGTTTATTTGAGCAGAATCGCACGGATTGCTTTCAATGTCATATTTTGTAAACTTTTGTGGAGATTGGAAAGTTACCCGACGTAGCGTTGGAAGCGACATGGCAAATGGCAGGCTCAGCTTTGCAATCGTAGGCGATTCAAGCTGGGTGTCTTCAATACTGCAATATGTCTCGTCGTGTTTATTGACGCTGGATTTACGTGGTGGTATAGGGGGAGGCGGTGGAGATGGCGACGGTACTGTTTTTATCTGTGCTTTACTGTTCTCTACTGCTTTATTGACTTCCGCTGCCAGAGCCATCTCCCTGGCTGTTAATTCTAGCTCTCGTTTACGCAATGTCTCTTCCAGGTGCCCCAAACGCCTTTCTCTTTCATTTAACTCTTGCGTTCGCGCATCCAAGCTGAGTGTGCGCTGTCGCAGTAGTGACTCGTGCGCCCGGATGGCACGTAGGCGTCCTTGCAGCGCCTCATTAAAGACATCCTCCGTGATCAGCGCGGGACTTTTGAGCTCATCCGTTGTGGAATTGGCTGACGCGCGCGCATGTGAAGGTGGCTTCGGTGGTGGTATGGGTGGTCTCAATGGTGTTTGATCTTTCACGCTGACATAGTATTCGTGTTGTATGGTTTCATAAAGCTCAGGGTCTGACCGCTGAAGCATACTTTTGGAGAAAATGCGACGTTTTACAGAAGAGAAGAGTTCGGCGCGAAGGTCAGGCGTAAAACCGCAGCTTAAACGACGTTGCCCATATTCTTCGTTAAAGCTGTTTTGTTCGGTGTACATTGTGCTGGAAAGATCTATAATGGGGCTGTATTGCAGCTTACAACGTACCTCCGGTTTTTCTTCGGCTGAAAGAAATCGGCCTCAGCTTTTATCAGAGTTGGAAATTTCGTTACCTAATTCAGTTATATTCCGTACGACGATTGGATGACGCGTTATCACTTCAATGCTGGGACGCTGCTCACTATCCACCGACAACATGTAGGCAATAATCTCCTGCAGGTCCCCGGAGTACACATCCGGTATGTGACTAAACTTTCCATTCGAAATATTCAAAGTGAGCTCATCAAACTTCGGTGCCTGAAAGGGCGTGCGGAGAGCGCACATTTCGTATGCCAGGCAACCCACCGCCCACACATCCGATTTGCGATCGTATTTCGATCCCTTGACGATTTCTGGGCTCATGTAGTAGGGTGTGCCGACAAAAGTAGCTGCGAAATCTTGATTTTTACGTAGCATACGCGCCAAGCCGAAATCTCCCAGCTTAGCGTTTCCTTGCGCGTCAAGGAATATGTTTGCAGGTTTTATATCCCGATGCATAAATAGTGCCTTTCCTTATTTTAGTTGTGGCATACCTGCAGCGCTTTGCAGACCTGAAATAGCACGCGCCAGATATAACGCTCTTCGAAGCGCTTACGGTCCGTGCGCGCATGTTTAATTAGCTGCGCCAAATCTCCACCCTCGCAGCATTCCATTACAATGAATATGGACTTGGCTTCATGATTGACCAAATGATGATAATATTGCACAATATTGGGATGTTGTAGTTGACGCAGCACCCGTATCTCCGACACCAACGACGCCTTCTTAGATTCACTCAATTCGTCGTAGTCGATGCCCTTCCAGGCATACAGCTCACCGGTTTGTTTGTCGCGCACTTTGAAGCACGTTCCAAATGTGCCGTTGCCAATGACCGATATAACTTCATAGTCTTGCAATGTTTTATTGGCGAATTTAAAACTGGAATCTCCGTCCGTTACTGAATTGTCACTCGCGCTACTTGTGCCACTACTTGTTGTTGCAGACATATTGTTACTTATACATATGTATTGCCGGCCTTTGAGAGGCGCTAAAATTTTGTTTATTTTTTTAATCAAAGTTTTTAGAGCTACGCTGTGCGCCCAAGATGCTTTCGAATGTGAAACTCATTGAAGACTGCAGGCATCGAGCAAAAATCAATGCTCTTAAACCTGTGCACTTGCGCGCGATGCTCAAAATCGAAAATGTATGTTGGTAAACAGGTTTAGGAATTTCTGCTTCAATGCTCTCTCAAACAAATAGATATTTTGCTGACTGAGCGCAGTCATCTTACGGCGATCCTTTTACACTAGCGACCACTTCCCGGAAGGTTTGTATTGCCTGTGTGATGGCCTACCTATTTTTGTGTGGGTGTACTTTTGTGCGCTCAGCGAGCAGGTAAACATATTTTCAAAGCATATATCTACATATACATATATGTATGTATATAGCGTTAATACTATTCATTTAATCTCTTGCGGTTCAATTTGTACATTTTCATTTTTTGATACAAAAAATGCATGTAAAAATGTATGTATGCACGTATGCACTTATATGTGTACAAAACATGAACCGTTGGATGTAATCTTTTAACACTTAGGCACAGCACGCCTGCAATTTCAATTGACATTGTTTGGGATGCCAATAAATTGTTTTGCTGGCATTGGTATATCAATTTTCCTCATTTCTTGTTTGCTTGTTTTTCAGTACCTTCGTGCTCTTTAATAATTAGTGTTTACATATATTCTAGTTTAGTTTCAGCGTTTTGCGGGTAATCGTGACGCACATATGTATAACAGGCATGAAGACTTGTACACATGCATGTACATAGGTATGTATACACATCGGTATTTAGGTACAGGTATCGGTAGAGACATAGTTAGATTACCCCAGCCAATTAATCTGAATGTCAAATCTATTCCGTATTCCGCTACCAAAGAAATATGTATTTTCTTCCATTTTCACCGCAGCACCATCATTCAATCCTAGGAACCCTTCTCCCAAGCGAACAGGGCCATAGATCTTACGGCAGAATGGTTTCATCTAAAGCCCAAAAGCCTTCCAATCCTTGTTGGAAATCGTCCACTCGCTAACATTTGCAAATACTTCACGCCCCCGCATTTTTAGCGAAGATGCACTTTAATATGTTTTTAAGATCATATTACTTTTATACCTTGAAGCAGATCTAGAATTTAATTTAAAACTTTGGTAATATAAAGAAAGTGGATTTTAATCTGAAATATCAGTTGCAAAGCTACGACATACAATTTCGTTTACGATTTGTACTGAGATATCAGAATATTAGTTGTTTTTGGTATTTGTTGTAACAGCACGAAAATTCGCTATCTACTTTTATTTTAAGCATCTCCTAACGCGCCCACGGAAATCTAGATTAAAAATATCTCGAAGAATATACTGACACATTTATCTTAATATTATCAGGGAACGGATTTTTAGGACCTAAAAATCTGTAAAAATGGCAAAATAAAATAATATGCTAGAAAAGGCAAAATAAAATAACGAAATAGGCAGAAAATCGCAAAAAAGCAAAAGGCACTAAAAACTCAAGAAATACATTTGTTATAGAAACGTTTATTTTATAGTTGTAGTAACATTGAGCCACAAGATGCATTTTGAAGTTTTCTGGCAGCTTTTTCATTCGATTTTCGCGAAGAAAAGCCTTGAAAATCTCTTAAAACCCTTAAAAAGGCAAAAAAAAGGCAACATCAAATGTATATACATATATGGAATCAGGGAAAGCTAACTGGTGCACATTTTTAATCGAATATACTTGGCTTTCTTCATAAAAAATAAAGTAGCTTTAAAAAAGGTTTATAAACTGGAAAATGAATGAAAACGTTATTTTATAAAACTCTTTACACCCACTTTATTTTTTATGAATAAGTCCATCTCTTTAGCAGAAAAAAAGGCAATTTTTATAAAATCCGTTCCCTGGTTATTATGATTTTGTATTAAATACCCGATGGGCCTTAGTATAACTGGTCTCCACTGGAGAAAGTAATATTAATGTATACATATTATCCAATGAAGTAAATGCTTACTTGCGTTGCATTCTGATCTTTCAAACATGTTATTGAACTTGAGGGACTAATTTCTGATTCTGCTGGCTTACTGCTAACGTGCTTGTAATTGAATTTGCATCTTATCATTTCTATTTAACCTATTTCTCATGCGACCATCTTTAAATTATACGAATTTCAGCCGACGATACTGCTTGCACCACGCAACGCCAAGTAACCAGCAACAATATCGGATGGCAGAGTCTTAACAATAGCATATTCTTCGGAGTTTGCGTACCGCAGCTTGCTGTGCGGGTCAGTGTACGGTGCAATCAGACCCGAAATGTCCGAGTACTTTTTAGGTGGTCGCAATGAAGGCGGAGCGTTAAACGAAGAGTCTGGGCGAGAGCAAAAGGTTTGGTATTTATAAATTTTTAATCAGAAGTTAAAGATGATAGCAAACACTCGTACTCACAAGACATAGCACCTTCTGGCCACTGTTGTGTTTTCTCCACCGCCAGTATTTGTTTTAAAGACTTGAATACGTGTTTCTTGCCACCGGGCTCAATATAGCTGAATTGTGGGTTTTTAAAACGAATGATCGGCGGCTCTTCAGACATTACGAAATATAAAAAACTTAATTTTGGTAAATAGATCCAAGACACGTTTGTTTTGTAGATGCAATGAAAAAACAGTAAACAAGTTAGGGATGTCGGAAAAACCTCGATGTATCGAAAATAACGATGTTTTTCTTCGATGCATCGAAATTTTTCCACTCGCTGTATAAATAGTCGATGTATCGAGGCGTTGATGTTTTTTTCAGAACTGACAATTGTAGCTTCATTCCAGTATTTTAATTGTAAATAAAAAGAGAAGTGACTTTGACCAAAGTATTGAAATTACTCCACAAAGTTCCGTTCCCCTCAGTTGCAGTAATTTATTTCTATCTTTGTTCAATTTCACTAGCAAGTCGATGCATCGAAAAATATCGATGTACATTTCGATGCATCGAATAAAAGAAAAACATCGATGTAATTTGCCACTGAAATCCCTAAAACAAGTGCAAGTGCTGGCAGTGTAGGGTTGTAATAAAATGTTTATAGTGGTGGGGAAATATGATGTTGCATAGTAGCACGATTGAGAGAATACAAAGGTTGCGCCGATCTCGGACCGCTATTCCTCTCTTAACGAATTTGACAGAATCGTGGTTTGCATGACGTCACACTTGTGCAACTTGTTTACGTTTTCCTTGCAACATTTTTTCTTCTTCTTCCATTCTTGCTCACGTTTTGGCATTTCTCTCTCGCAATTTCACCAGTGAGACGTCACACAAAAGTTATTCTCAAAAATCCTCTCTGATCGGCGCAATCTTGTATTCTATCATTCTTGGCATAGTAGTAACTTAAAATAAGCCAGCTTTGTATTGGTTTTTTTTTTTAATTTCGGCAGAATTGTGATTAGTGCAGTTTTTGGGTGGGCTTTCCAAAACGGAACCAATCGAAATTTCCGCGAAAGTATAAGGAATTTCGTCATGAAACTTGGTGAGGATGTTGGGCGAGGCCTCCTCAACATGAATTGTTCACTCTCACAATATAATTGCTAATAGTATTTTAGCAATTTGTTGTTAAATAATGTCCACTATCACCCCCTAATTTTTTTAAAATATGCCACTTATCACTTATATTTTGTGTTACATATTACATTTTCAATGCTCACATGCGTATTTTATGCTTTTATTA